ATATTATAATCAATAAAATATGAAATTTTTTAAATTATGTTTCTTTCCCTTTCTTTGTGGTTAAGATTGTATATATATATATATATATATATATATTGTTACGTGCTCCCGGGAGATAGATAATTCGCGCGAGCACGGATAAAAATCAAACAATAGAGTGGAAATCGTATCCGATTTCGGGAGGGAAGGCGTCAGTTTTCCGGATTTCGTCCCTTCGGCGACCGACAAGGAGCAACAGCGCGAAATGTTGGGCGCCAGACGCGCTCGGCGGCACGTCACTCGCGAGACGCGACGATACTCCAATAGCGCGACAAGCGAAGTGTAATTGCTCGCAACGATACCCGAAATTCGCGAACGAACGCTGCTCCCCAAGGTCGATCGCGCGAGGGCCGGCCGGCTCTACCTAATGGTAGAGGGGCAGGGCGGAACTAAGGGCGAGCTAGGCGACGGACGGTAGGATGGTGCGGGCCGGGCGAAAGAATTCGTACTTCCGATTTAGAACATAATAACAATGCCGTTTATTAGCCGCTTAGAAAGGCGGTAAGAAATAGCGGAAAAATAGAGTACAGTTCGTTAATAAAGAAAAAGAATAGAAAAGGAATGATTCGCGTGACGTTATGGAACGCAGGTAATCATACAGCGCGATAAGTTCCGGCGTAACGAAAAAGAAAAGAGACAGTTCAAGAGATTCGGCCGGTAAATAAGAACGCAATTAAAGTCAGAAACGGCGCGATAGTACAATGAAAAACGGCGGGGCTCGGCACGACGCGAGTACCGAGGTCTAACGACAGTCAACAATAACGATCTTAAATGCGCACGCCGGACGCGCCAACGGAGGCGAAAAACAAATATAAGATTACTTAAGCCGAACACGACGGACATTCATACGGAAACGAAACAGATAGCAGATTGCTTACGCCGATACGCAATGAAATCGCACGCAATATCACAAGACAACGCGACGACAGACACTCGCGATTCCGAGTATTTGCACACTTACACGGACGCTCGCGCACTCGTGCGCGAGGGCTTTGCGGCGAACTCGCGACGACGATCTCCGAGTGGCTCGATACGCGACTCACGACACTCCCGATTGCTCACGGCAGATTCCTGTGGGAACCCTCGCACTTGGGGACGGGCGCCAGCAACCAACGACTACGAACCGCGCGTCGCCAAAGGGGCGCACGCGACGTGACTCGAACACAAAAATGGCGCTTCCGTCCGCAGAGTACGAATGGGTCCCGCGATCCGCCCGTGGCTTTACAACGCTTGGAGATAGAGGGTCACCTCACCGGCACGATCTCCACGTCGTCCCTCCGAACTCCTCCTGGCCGACAGCCGCTCGTCCTTCTCTCTCTAGTTCTCGCAACTCGCTCTCGCTCGCCGGTCCGCTCGCCCGCAATAGTCGCACGCAAAAGCGGCGTAGATCGCGTTCGATCCGCGATCGATGCGTGCACCCCCTGCCCGGGGGTGCGCAACACAGCGGCGCAGTCGGCCGCGACCAATCACGGCGCCACGGGGGTCCTGCCGCGGCACGGGCGCAATCAGGTGACTCTGCATGCGGGCGCCTCGCGCCCGCGCGAGGTCGCCCTATATCCGGGATGTGGCGGCGTGGTATTAGGTGGGCGCGTCCTTCGCCCTTGAATTCCGGGACGAGTTGGCTATCTCGCCCCGGCAGCTCTCGGCGATGTCCCCGGGCCTGGGGAAATCGCCGGCCGTATCGCCCTTCGCGGGCCTC